GTCTTGTCAATAGTTGGAGGTCGCCTGGGGGCCCTGTCACAGGGTCTGTCTTTCTGTGATGGCGAAGCGCCCGTCCATGCGGCCGCCCGACGGGGCCCACCGCCCCCAGCACATGACGGCTGCCGGTCTCTCATCTGCTGCACCGAATAGAAGCGCCAGCACCACCGGAGGGCGGGCTGTGCCGAAAACACCAGCGCCCTCCCCTCGGACTGCCCGAGAATAGAATCGCGTCGCCTCCGCCAACCGCGGCCGCCGGCCCCCCACCCCCCGCCTCGCCTGTCACACGCGATTTGCGCCAGCTGCAGCGCCCTCAGCCAGGCCTCGGCCACGGCCTGGCCCTGCGATTGGTTGGTGTCGGTGCAAACATCTTATCCATCTCATCCGAACGCCGTGCTGCATCTCACCCCACTGAAAGAAAAGCAGACCCCGAACCCCCCGCGCCGCGTGGCGCGGCCTGGCTCCGCCGGAAGCGCTGCATGCCGCTCAGGACCGGCGGCAGTCCGGCGCTCTGGCGGCGCAGTCCGGGCCCCCCGGGCAGTCCCACGCTGCGCCCGCGGCAGCGGCCACGCTTGGCCCTGGCGGGGCTCAGGGTCGGCCCGTGCCGGCCGGGGGCCCGTCGCAGCAGACCCTCCGCGCAGCTGCCCGCGCCGCTGGCTGCTGGATTCAGCCAAGGCCAGGCTTTGCGATTTACAAACACCCTTCGGCGCAAGACGCCTGCCCGCCCGCCCAAAACTGTGATCATCTGGTGCCCACCCCTTCAAGGTTGCGCAGAGTGTAATGGATGCTCTGCGCCGCGAGCGTGTCCAGCCCTGCTACGGGCAGCGACTGCTCCACCGGCCAGACCAGCGGCCGCCCCTTGCGCGCCGCGCGCCGCAGCACGCGTAGCGCGCCGGCGGCGGCGCCGCGGGCGGCGCCGGCGAGGTGCATGGCGGGCGGCTGCGGCCTGGGCGCGCTGCCGGAAGGCGGCGTGCAAACGCGGCTGTGTCGGATTGGCGGGGGCGCGCTCCTGGGAGCCTGGCAGGCGTGAGAATATTGATGTGAATACTGATATAGTTTTCAGCTGGCAAGACTCGCAGATAGACCCAGCCAGCGCGATCTGTGATCTGCACACACCGATCGCAGATATTATAAAACCGTGGTGATGGAACCGGTGTATCATTGATTATGAAGACTCGAGACCTTGACAAGGCGACAATTGACCAGACCTGGCAGCACCGCGCCGCCACCACCGCCGCAGCTTGGAGCTCAGCTGCCGTGAAAGGCTGCTCGACTTGCGGCCCCCATACCGCCCTTCGCGAGCATTGACCTGATTTAGGCTTCCCAATGACGTGTGAGTCTGCGAGCTTGTCCAAATGCCATGTTCTTGGCACATGCAGCCTTGCCAACCGGTCAAAGCATGTGACCCAAAGCTCACATGGCCGCATTACTGAGTCACTCAGATCTCAAGGAAGCGCTTCTGCCATACCAGCGTGTCGCCGACAGTCCTGTGGAGAAACCTGCAAGCATGTTTGTGCATCTGCGAGGTGGGAAGAGCGCGGGCTGTGCCGGCGTGAGTGACCCAACGGCGCCCCTATGGCTTGGCTGGACAGGGGCACGTGTCAGTCGTGGTCCTTTCTGTCAAAAATCCTGATGCAACGCTGTTTTCCTATTCATGATTGTACTGTATTCGGAAAAGCTGTCATGGATATCGCTCGGTCGTTGCACCGTCATGGCACCGCCGTAGGCTTGCATGCACAGTGCTCGTTACACAATCCTTCATGACTGTCCACCATGCCGCCAACACCTCCCTGGCCAACGGGCTTGGCGCTGGGCCGTCATCCGCCAACGCATGCGTGCTCGTGCGAGACCCAGACCCACGCACCACACATCCCGGGCGCCTGCCTCCCAACCCGGGGGACCGCCAGCCAGCAGGGCCCCGCCTGCCTGCCTCGGCCGCCAGGCGGCCGCGGCGCCCGTCACCCGTCCCCGCCGCGGCGTCACCCAGCATCACCCAGCATCACTAGGCGTCACCCGGGCCCGGCGGGGCTGTCGCGGAAGCCCTTGGCGAACCGCTTCGCGAGCGGCAGGAACACGTCCAGCGTCCACGCGCGCT